TCCATTATTCCTTCGATGAAAATGCCTGCAGTTTGGTTGGGAATTTCTGGGTTGCGAGGCTGTCCGCCGAGACAAACTTCATTCTCTCGGTGTGTCACATTTGCAGCCTCGAGTGGCACAATAATGAGGGGATTTTATACCTGAGATAACTCTTATCCAGGGCCTTGTACTGGCAAGTCAGTTGTTGACTTTCCTATGATTGTTTTCTTTTTTACGAACCGTGTCTTAATGGTCATGAACTCCAAAGGTCTCACCGGGTGTGCCAAAATGCTGACCCTAAAAATTATAAAGCCTACGTGGTGCACAGGCCGAGTAACTAATGAGCTAACTATGTCTTTCGGTCGGGGCATGCCAACTCGTTGGCCGAGTCTGGCCGAGGAGTATAATTTGTTGATGTTGCGTTGAGCGTGTTGCTGACTTCTTTATCTTACGATTACGGCCAAGGAAGGAACAAGTCTCGGCCTTTGGATTCTCGAGCCTGAAGACAAGGTTGCTAGTTCTGTGAAGTTCACGAATCGTCAGCGCCGGATTCGGTCACAGTGATTATACTCGTGAGAGTATAAGCACGTCGAATCGACACCAGACTATATGGACATAAGTACTCAAAGGTGATGTGTGTCTTGATGGTAAATGTGGTTCGGCCGTTAGAATGCCGAACTCTGAAACTCACTTGTGAATATCCAATCATAAAATCACTCGGCGTTTAATATGTCGAATATCGTAACTCGTAACACCTTACTTCGCCGAGAAGGCTAATAAAATGACCTCTGCCAATAAGGATTAAAAAAACCGTCTTGACCGTGACTTGGATAAATAATAAGTCGACCTCGACACAGTGCTGTTTATCCAAACTGAAGATGCTCCAGGAATGGCTGATTCTACGGCAACAATGTTGTTTATCCAAACTGAAGATGCCACTGGTTGCCTTCACAGTGCTGTTTATCCAAACTGAAGATGTGTTGGCGGAAAACGAAAATAAAAATTCTCAAGATGTTTGAGAGGTTTGGGCAGGGCAATTATGTGTTGAATTGGAGGAGCCCTAAATAATGCACTTTGCTTTCTATTTATAGCAACAAAACCTCCTCAAGATCAAGTCGAAACCATATTCAGACTGGGACTTTTTGTTCCAACTTTATCTCAACTAATCCTATTCCTATTAGGACTTTGAACTCACCCTCCTTTTAAGGTCGTATTCATTGTCGGTCGAGAATCCGTATTGCACTAAGCTTCCTTATCGTATTGGAACTTCTTCGACCTATCCGCTCATCCAAACTACTCTTTCTTGCAATATGACTCGATCACCTTTTCTGAACAGCCCAGAGCCACCAGGCAACCCATAATATATTTGTAAAAGCTTTGGGCCGAACCTAAGCTTAGCCTAAAATATTATTTTGGGCCCAAACAACATCTTTAAAATATTTCAATTTCATACATTCGTTAAAAAATTTGTTAATTAACTGTTAAGTGATGATGTGGCAAATATAAGGTCCACATTTGTGCTGACAAAGATGCCAACTTTGCACCCTGTGAATTAAAAATAAATAAAAAAAGATTAGTGGATAAAAAAATCAATTTAGATTATAATTAAAAACTAAAAAAATTTGAAAAGAGGATCTGGGCAAAACTTGCCCCGATAACCCTATCTCTTCCTCGACTCCATCTCATTTCCTATGTGGTTGTCCCCAACCACGAATTTGATTCTTGGTTTAGGACGCTTCTTCCGTCGCCGCCTCTTCCTTGATTCAACACCATCCCTATTTGCATGTTCGTCTCCAACAAGTCCATCAACGACATCCTTATCGGCTTTGCTGTCCTCGACGTCACACCCATCTCTATCGACAACGTGTTATTTCTCGTTTCTTCTCCCTCCTCGTTGGCTTCTTCCGTCACAGACGATGCCACAACGGTAACCTCTTGCACTACTACAGCTTCCCGCACTGACAACGATCCATCCTCGTTAAGCATCATCCTTAATCACCGTTTTGGCGAGTCTTTCGTGACCTCATTGGCCGCGAACCGCACGGAGCTATAGCACGAGAATATCAAGGCGAGGGGTTGTCCACATCCACCTTGTCGGACGAAATCGAGGTGTTGGGGCTGAACCGAGTGCAGGCCTGCCGCCGGATTTGCCTTTCGCCCTACTGAGTCATGTTGAGATCGAACTCGGGATTGACGGAATAGACCCTGCTACAAGCAAGTTGTGAGATTGTGGGTTCTGGTGGTGATGATTAGAAGTGTATAGGAGTGTGTACTAATGTAGAGGATTGGATTATTGGGACGACAGCCAAAAAAAAAAAAAAAATCCTTCACCAAGCTGCCCAATCCTGTTTTCAAATTTTTAAGTTTTTAATTATAAAAAAATTGATTTTTTTTATTAAATAATACTTTATTATTATTTTGTATTCATTTGGTGTAAAGTTGGCATTCATGTCAGCACAATGTGAACGTTACATTTGCCCCGTCATCATTTAACAATTAACTTAACTGATTTTTTAACAGATGTATGAAACTAAAAAGAAATATAACTAAGTCTATAAAATTGAAGGGGTGTGCTATCCACACACCTCTTTTTACTTCTTACACACAATTTGTTAATTTCTATCCTTTGATCTTCTTCAACTCATCCGATCCGACGGTCGAAAATTAAAAAGATGTGTGAGAAGTAAAAAAATATGTGTGGATATCACACTCTAAAATTGAAATGTTTTAAACATGTTATATGAGATTACAATTGATCTCATATTTAAGGAGGTAAAATATAATTTACTTAAGAAATTATTGGACATGACTAACTAGCTACACGGATCGAGATCTCGGCGTATCGATCATAAATATATTTTGACAAAAAAAGATCATAAATATAAATGAAATAAATGTGTGTTCTCAGAGCGTTTGCTGCATGTGGCCACTAGTGGTAGCGTCTCCATTATTTATCACGTGAAGGTTATCCTTTGTCAGCCAACTACAATTTGTCAATTATTTGCCTTGATTTATTGTTCTTTTGCTATTGTTCGTCAATTCTGAAAATCGTGCTTACCAAAATAATATACTCCTGTACAGGCAAATAGACAATTGCAGAAGATAAAAACAAATGATAACTGAAAAGGCTATTGGAGTGAATTAGGATATAGGGTTATTTCTATTTGCACAACCTAATATTAGGATATAGGGTTATTTCTAGCTTCATTTGTAGATGAAATATGTTGAAAGAGTGAATTTGACGTTGGAAAAATAAGGTATTTTGCATGTGCTTATAAGTTATTAGATTAATTCTGTATATTGTTAATTAATTTTGTGATGTAACCTTAACTTACTCTAAACTTAGTATGGCTTACTTATTTCGTGGTCTAACCCAACTCACCACTAGTATAATTGGTTGAAAGGATGTCGGATAGTATGTAAACCTTAACATCAACCAGTCGCTATTTCATTTGCGAAGTACAAAACCTACCAGACATTGGCCGACTAATTTTTCTTTCGATTTGTAACTCTTGATTTAATCCTTTTTTTATTTATATTTATTATCAAAGTAAATTCAATTACCCAGGAAACATAAATATTTGGAGGCCTAGATACACTTAAAACAAAGATACAAGATAACAAACCTCAAAGCAATACCAATATAATTTTAGCCGGTGGGATTTATTCTACTTATTATACTGACAATATGATTCAGACTGTATGTTTGACACATGTAAATTTGATTTAAAAAATAACTGGGTCGGTCTATTCTATGGCGGAGCATCCGAAGCATAACCGCAAACTCTAGTCTTAACTTGCTTATTACTTTGGTCAAGTTAGCACACGATATGAGATTCAGTATGTTGGTGGATCCTACCTATATTAGAGAGATCGTCCAAATGTTATATATGGAAAATGTGGTAAGTGTAACATTATTCTGGTCTCTTGTGCAACACATGTGAATCCTACCTCTTTAGAAAGTTGATACAAAATATAAAGGGATATTTTGATATAGGCTCCTCAGTTTTGAATTTTTTAGATCAAACATCCACACCTTTTGGTGATATGATTAAACTTTTTTTTGTAATGATTTTGGTGTTATATGCACATTATATTGTAACAAATTTCCTATAATCTAGCCTTCTAATTACACTCTCATCTGTTAGAGATAATTGTAAAGAAAAACAAAAAAAGTTGGCTATACTCAATTTATTTTCACAATAATGCTACAATTTAGCAATAATTATCTACGATTTAAGATATTTTCTTTCCAAATAGTTTAAAATATTTTTAAATCCCACAAAATCAAACGTACTGAAATAAGTTTTTCTTTTAGTGCATTCAGAGAAAATAGGATTGAGAATAATATAAATGTACCAATACACAACATGTACAAAATAAAACGTACCAAAATAAAAATAATGTACCAATATTAACAATATTATAAAATCAAACGTACCAAAATTGCAAATAAACATACCAATTAATGTTTTTTTGTAAATTTAAACGTACCCGCATATAATATATACGTAATGTATTGTACCTAATAATAATTCATCAACAACTATACTTAAAAAAAACAGCAAAAAAAAAAATACAAAAAAATTGAAAAAATTACATAGAGCTTTTATGTTGATCACCAACTATCTGGGAAAAAAAAATTTGAAAAAAAAATAATATTAAATGTTTGCATAACAAAAAAGAAAAACTATGATCGAAAAAACATATTTGGAATAAGAGAAAATATAGTTTAATTACTAATATCTCCACTAAATAAGGAAAAGTGCATCATGCAAATAAAAGAATAAATTCAAAAATTATTTTAATTTAAAAAAATAATAATGACATGGAATTTAGCTTGAGATGGTTATTGGTCAAAACATTTTAATCAAATTTTATGATATAGAAAAACTACAGAGGATTCTAATTTTTCTAAATATAAAATATAAGGAATATGCCAATATATACAGATATCAAATTTCTTTTCCACGTAACAAACCGAAGAAATACAAATATTATTTTTGGACGTTAAGTGGTAAGTTTTATAAACAAGTCAGTTTGGCATGCCACCTTATAGTTTTGCCGATATCTCTCAGGAACAGTTAGGAAAAGTATAAGAAAACAAGGAGAAAAAGAAGCAGCAGCAGAAGAGGAAGGGGAACATTAGAAAAGAAGAGGAAGTAGATATATAGCAATGTTGGCAAGCTCTGGAGGTTTAGAGAGGAGTGAAAATACTGAAGTGCTCTTAGTAGAGGCAGGTGGTGGCGGCGGCGGTGATGGAGATCAAGAAGGACCTAAAAATTTACCTAGGTGGTGGTGGAAGAAAGTGTTGGATGTGGAGGAGGCCAAGAAACAGGTCATGTTTTCACTGCCAATGGTTTTTACCAATCTTTTTTACTACTTGATCACTTTGGTGTCAGTCATGTTCGCCGGCCACCTTGGCGACCTTGAGTTGGCCGGTGCAACCCTTGCCAATTCATGGGCCATTGTCACTGGTTTCGCTTTCATGGTAACTTTTCCACTTTTCCTCACTCATACCATATTTCTCTTTACAATATTTTGTAATTTCTTCAAAGTCTAATACAAATTTTGGAACACGGTAGAAGGACGAACATAACGAAACATGAGTGGAGGGAGAACAAGAATGTGTGGTTATCATTTTGCTTTTAGTATTGTAATTGTTTGAAACTTTGGTGTAGGTTGGGTTAAGTGGAGCTCTAGAGACGCTTTGTGGGCAAGGGTTTGGTGCAAAGTTGTATAAAATGTTGGGCATTTATCTACAAGCTTCCTGCATCATATCTTTCTTTTTCTGTTTCATCATATCTATAATCTGGTTCTATACAGAACGTATACTTATTATACTCTATCAAGATCCTCAAATTTCCAAATCCGCTGCTGTTTTTATGAAGTTTCGGATTCCGGGATTATTTGCGTATGGATTCCTGCAAAACATCTTGAGATTTATTCAGACACAATTTGTTGTCCTGCCGTTAGTCTTTGCGCTTGTACCTGTTGTAATTCATGTTGGCATTGCTTATGGTTTGGTACATTGGACAGCTCTTGGTTACAAGGGAGCTCCACTAGCAGCTTCAATTTCGTTATGGATATCCGTTCTTGCGTTGGCCATGTATGTCGTCTGCTCGAAGAAGTTTGAGCATACATGGCAAGGATTCTCATTAGAATCATTCCATTATGTTGTTTATGATTTAAAACTTGCCCTCCCCTCAGCACTAATGGTATGGTAAGTATCACATTTTTCATTACTTTTAGTGTTAAAAGTTAACAATGCTGCATTAAGCTTTTTGGAAACCTTTTCTGCATCAGACATAGAACCGTAACATAGAAGATAGAACTAATACTGAAAGAATATCGAAACCGAATTATAATCCAAATGAAGGGTTTATACTTTAAAGCATAGACATCAGATTCAGATGCTGCACAACAACTATAATTTATCAGAATTATTGTCAATAGGATTCAGAACTTAATTGCATTATTTAACTTAAAACTAGTGCAAAATATATCCAGTTTGGAGGAATGGGCTTTTGAAATTCTGGTGTTGATGGGAGGATTAATGCCGAATTCGAAAGAAACCACTTCACTAATTGCAATGTGGTAAGCTTCAATGTACCTTTTTGTCATCTTAAACCTATTCTTGCTTCCTACCTCAAGTAACCTTTTTATAATCATCTCTTCAGTGTGAATACAGAAGCAATTGCATACATGATTATGTATGGCCTAAGTGCTGCTGCCAGGTTGGTTGACTAACAATTCTTGTGTTGTGTTTTCCTTTTAATTTGTTCGATTACTACATCATGTTTCGTTCATTGAAACAAGGTTTACTTATTGTGGCGTAGCACAAGGGTGTCAAATGAATTAGGCGCAGGAAATCCCAACAAAGCGAAGAATGCAGTGGCTGTGACTTTTAAGCTCTCTCTGCTTCTTTCTTTTGCTATTGTTTTGGCTCTAGCACTTGGTCACAATACCTGGACTCACTTCTTCAGCGACAGCCATATAATAGCAGATCAATTTGCGTCCATGGTACCATTGCTTACAATTTCCATAGTCGTAGATTCCGTTCAAGGTGTCTTATCAGGTTAAGATCAACCACTTTTTTGTAGGGTTAGTTCTACATTGCTCTTTTTCCAGTAACTTAGCGGATTTTTGGTATTTCAGGTGTGGCCAGAGGATGTGGGTGGCAACACTTGACTGTGTATGTAAACTTAGCAACATTCTATTCGATTGGTATGACAATCTCCAGTCTTCTTGGATTTAAGTTCAAATTACATGCCAAGGTAAGATAATACATTAATAAGTTGATTTGTTTTGGTTTTATTTTATTTTTTCAAATCACATTTTGGTGCTTCATTTTTCGTTGCAGGGTTTGTGGATTGGTTTGATCTGTGGCCTCTCCTGTCAAGCCGGCACGCTTTTGTTCATAACACTGCGCACGAAATGGAACGTGTTGGATTTACCGGATTTATCAGATGTTGAAGAGAATGAAAAAGCAGTTTTGGTGTGAACAAATTGTCAGAAATTAAGACGCGATAAGATCATATAACTGTGAGAAGTTTATGCATTGTTAGATGCATGCATTGCTTAATAGAAGGAAGGACGTTAGACTGACTGACAATGGAATCCGTCTGTTGTGCTTAAACTAAGCCTAAAACATGTATTTTGTTAACAGCTTCTAAATAGACAAGTAGGGTTTGATCCTTCATTGTGCGGTTCTTTGGAGAAATACTAACTGCAGTTACTTTCTCCCAATGTTTCAAAAATGCGCCTAGACGGCTTTGGGGCAGGGTGATGATGAAAACGCCCCTACTAAGTGAGAGTACACTTAAACTCGCTTAGACGTGCGCCTGAGGCATTCGACTGGACCTTATTTTTTTTAATAGAGACTTGGCAATGAAGAAGATGAGCCTACTGAAACTCTTATGGGCTGTTAGTTATGGTATTGTGGGCTGGGTATTCCTTAGGTCCATTTTCATTTGGTCATTTAGAGACGCGTGTAGCAAGATGTAGTTATAGGCTACAATGAGTGGCCTTTTGTGGAGGTTTTGTACTAGAATAATGTTGAGATCAAAATTTTTAACAAATTTACAAACTGATCAAAACTTAAGTAGTAATTCAATAATCAACATTCATATAATCTGGTTTGCAAAATTTGGCATCTCTAACATTACCCTTTATAAGGGATCCAAACTTTTTTTTGAGACCGTTGAATTTAACCTAACAAGGTAAAGTTACCCAAAGAGAAAGGGAAATCTCTTTTATTTTATTTTATTTTATTTTATTTTATTTACAACAAACGATATTATCTACACTAAAGGGAGGGGGTGGGTTTAGCCTCACAATATGCTAACAATAATATTGTTCAAATTCATTTTAACGAGAATCTAACCTAAAACCTCTCACTTACAAGTGAAGAGGAATACCACTAGACCGTAGTACTAAGTAGCGAAAAAGAAAGATTTTTTAATTGAAAGGGAAAACTCATTTTTATCAAAAAAATAAAGGATAATGCTAGGGAGACTAAATTTGTAGACAAAATTTAAAAAAACTAAAGAACATGAAAGTTGATGATTGGTTTATTACTTAAGCGTTAATAAACATGTTCATTCTTACTGGTAACGTATTATTTAGTTTGTAAATTTTATCTATAAACTTAGTCTCCCTAACATTACTAGGAAACATACTTAAAAGTAAAGTTACCCAACAAGAAAGGAAAAAGATCTTCTAATTAAGCCGCAAGAAACCGATATATAAGAAGAACAAATAGGACTAGAGAAAAGCAAAAACAAGCTGCATATATCAAGCAATAAACTCATAAAAAGCTTTAGATGCAGTGCCATTAATTGTGGTTTGGTGGCCACTTCAAATTCGATTTAATATTCCTAGTAACTTGATTTCTCTTAAGTGGTGTTTTAATTAGGAATTGTGTTGTCATTTAGTAATAGTCATTTTGATGCAGTGTATTAAGTAGGGATCTTGATATTCTGGATGGTCCTTTAAGTTTTCAAATCTAGTTATATCCCTAGTAATCAAGTATTTAGAATATTGTGTTTTTTAGTTATGTGGTTGGGTTGGAACTTGGTGATTATTATTTCTTATGTTGCAGTGGACTAGGAAGTTGTGCTAGTGTTTAATTGTGTTGAATTATTTTATATAAACAGAGATTAGTTCTCTATATGTTCTATGGGTCTAGTTGTGCTTGAGATTTCAATAATCATCTCTCTGTTTTCATCCCCACATTACATTTACTGTGCTATAGTGGGCTAGGAACTTGTGTTTATAGTTCGTACTGTTGTTGGCTAGGCTCTCTAAATACTTGACCTATCTGGTCCGAAAGGAATACCAAAAGTTGGAATGGCAAGGAAACTAGTGAAGCAATCACAAAAGAAACAATCTTTCTACACCATCCTACTCGGTGATTACGCGCGGCATCTGGTATGTAACATCCTCAGACTTTTTTCTCACTATAATTTCAAGAATCAATAAACAAGATTGCCTCTTTCTTTCTGCCGTCTTGTTTTTTTTAAGCTTAATGTTCGGCATGCCTTCAAGTTTAAACAATATGTTAGATTCGGAAAGATGCCCATGAATTCAGCTAGTTGAAGGTTGATGATACCCTGTTCGTGGTCATATTTGAAACTATTTCTTTTCACTAGCGGAAAAGCGAGGTTTCTGAGGGTCAAAGCCCCCCCGGGGGGGGGGGGGGGGGGGGCGGGGGTTGTTGTTGGGCAGTATCCTTGTGTGTACCATGTTTGCATTGCCGTATTACATTGATAAACTGAATGTCAACTGGAACTGGGACTTGCTCAAGGAGTTTGTAGACTTGTAGTAGCTCAAATTTGACAATCAGTGTTATGTTGTTTTTGTTAACACTAACTTGTTATATAGTCATCAGATCAGATGAGTTTCCATGTTCATAGTTTAGTATTGAGAAGCACATATATATTGGTTTTAAAAAAGCAATTAAATTTTGTAGCGTATACCACCTAAATTCGTCAAGAACTTCAATGGATGGTCACCTTGCAAATGTGTTCTTCGAGGCCCCAGTGGATTACGAAGGACTGTGGAATTGGAAGAGAGAAAGAATGGCTTATTCTTCAATGGTGGTTGGCAATATTTTGTGAAGGATCATTATTTAGAAAACGGGGATCTTTTGGTTTTCAAATATGATGGCGAATCAAAGTTCAAAGTCGCAATCTATGATACTACTGCTTGTGAGAAGGATGTAGAGATAGCTGACAGCTGGAGGATTCGCAGTTCTGTGCCTTTGTTTAGCAACGGACATGCTCGAGTAAAAGAAGAAATTGTTGAACTTGAAACTGAAAACTACAACGAAAACTGTGAAAACAAAGTGTTCATTTCTGGAAGAAAGAAATGTAAGTTATTGGCTTCTACATTTAGGAAAGATCTGTATGTGCTATTTATTTTCTCTAGCAGCTTTGTTTGTTCTTTTCTTCTTAAACTGTTGGTAATGTACAGGCAATTATCTTATATCGGGGAAGATACCTTCACACGATCACAGAGAAGCAACATCAACTCAATCCATCTTGTTCAAATCGAAGAACTCGTGTTTTATAGCAATCTTTAACAATCCAAGGCGATATCGCGCGGTGAGTACGTTAATTATCATCCAATTCTGAAGCTAACTATATATATATATATATATATATATATATTTTGAAAACTTTCCCTCTTATGATTGCAAATGGTAAAAGAGATCGTTATAATATCATAAGCACTGCACTATATATGGAATTTTTTATCCATTGACGTCGTTGATGTTCTAAATTGCAGACAATCCCAAAGAAACTAGCCGTAGCTGAAGAAGTTTTAAAGAAGAAGAGTATAATGATTCAGGATTCAACTGGGAGATCATGGCTCGTTAAACTTGACGTTCGCGGCAAGGGTTCTCAGTATCGTGTGGATATGGCAACTGGTTTGGGAGAATGCTGTAAAGCCAACCAGGTTTTACCTGGTGACGAAGTCGTTTTTGAGTTTGTCAAGCAAAGTCTTTTGCAAATTCATATCTACAGAGTGGAAGCATTAGGAGGCAAATCACTGCGATTACTTTCTCCGAATGTTATAGAAAAAGCGCCTTAAGATTGGTCTAAGCGGCCTTGAAGGCGGAGCAATGATGAAAACACCTCTGCCCAGCAGAGTGAGCTTAAACTTACCTAGACCAGATCGAGGTGCGCCCAAAACGACTGAAGTGCTGCGTTTGACTATGAATTTTTTTTTTTTTGAAATGGAAACTTGGCAACGAAGAAGAAGAAGAAGATATTACCTTCAATTTAGATGAAGAGATTTGGATGAGTGATTCTTTTTTTTTATCTTTTTTTAGTATGTTTAACTTTTTTTTGTGATTCGTGCATTTTTAAATGACAATGGGCCTTTATTTTACATATTATAATATATATATAATATATATATTAATAATTTTAAATCTTGTAAAAATATCGTCTAATGCCTTAAAACTTTCGTCCAAATGAAGTTGTCCATGAAATTACTTAACTTTGCCATCAACTTTTAAAACGACTTAACTTTACCTACTTGTGATTCTTTCATTTCATGCCATCAGTAATTCATTTGAAAAAAACAGACAAGCACATATTTTAACTAAACAAATTAAAACGTTAGAAAAGTAGCTTCTTGGCAGGCTGTCACGGTGCATCAAGATTGGACATGTGATTATGTTAATTATCATCCAAGGAGATATCGCACGGTGAGTATGTTAATTATCATCCAATTCTGAAGCTAACTATATATATATATTTGAAAATCTTCCCAGGCTTCCCTCTTATGATAGCCAATGGTAAAAGAGATCGTTAGAATATCATAAGCACTGCACTATATATGGAATTTTTTCTCCATTGACGTCGTTGATGTTCTAAATTGCAGACAATCCCAGAGAAACTAGCCATAGCTGAAGATGTTTTAAATAAGAAGAGTATAATGATTCAGGATCCAACTGGGAGATCATGGCTCGTTAAACTTGACGTTCGCGGCAAGGGTTCCCAGTGTCGTGTGGATATGGCAGCTGGTTTGGGAGAATGCTGTAAAGCCAACCAGGTTTTACCTGGGGACGAAGTCGTTTTTGAGTTTGTCAAGCAAAGTCTTTTGCAAATTCATATCTACAGAGTGGAAGCATTAGGAGGCAAATCCCGGCGATTACTTTCTCCGAATGTTATAGAAAACGCACCTTAAGATTGGTCTAAGCGGCTTTGAAGGTGGAGCAATGATGAAAACACCTCTGCCCAGCAGAGTAAGCTTAAACTTACCTAGACGTGATCGAGGTGTGCCTAAACGACTGAATTGCTGCGTTTGGCTATGAATTTTTTTTTTTTTTTTTTTTTGAAATGGAAACTCAGCAACGAAGAAGAAGAAGATATTACCTTTAATTTATTGAAGAGATTTGGATGAATGATTATTTTTTTATCTTATTTTTCAAGTATGTTTGATAGTTAATTTTTTTTTGTGATTTGTGCATTTTTAAATGACAATGGGCATTTGTTTTACATATTATATTATAATATATATATATATATATATATATATTAATAATTTTAAATCTCGTGAAAGTATCGCAAAATGTCTCAAAACTTTCGTTCAGACGAAGCTATCCATGAAATTACTTAACTTCGGCATCGCCTAAAACGACTTAACTTTACCTACTTGTGATTCTTTCATTTCATGCCATCAGTAATCCATTTGCAAAAACCAGACCAGCACATATTTTAACTAAACAAATTAAGAGGTGTGATATCTACACACTTCATTTTACTTCTTACAGATCTTTTTAATTTTTGGCTGTCGGATCAGATGAATTAAAGAAAATCAAAGGATACAAATTATCAAGGAGTGTGTAAGAAATAAAATGAAGTGTGTGCTTAGCACATCC